TTTTACACTAATACATTTTATTTTCATTTTATTTCCAGCCAGCAGGGGGACCACCTGTAATTACAGGCAGCCCCCCTGCTGGCAATACAGAAGCCAGCTATCCCCGGCCGTGACCCCACTCTCACATGGCCGGGGGTCACCGGAGGAGAAGGATCTGCCGCGGGGGGCTCCCTGGGAGTCCCCCCCACCGCGATCGCCGGCGTGGGACCGCCGTGGACCGGGTAAGTGAACAAAAAACGGAGGGCGTACAATTACGCCCAGCGGCGTTTAGAGCCACCTAAAATAGGGCGTAATTGTACGCCCTCCGGTCTAAAGGGGTTAACATGATTTTCAGTTTACAAATGAAAATCCGATGAAAATAATGCCTCAGTTTACACATTTATTTTGCAATACAGAGCAAGTTTCCCAAGGATGCATTGCACCTGGGAGGTTTATAGCAATGCCCCGTGCATGCTGGAGCCTGTGGGTAGCATGTGGCGTTGAGTGTGGAGGTGTTGGAGCGGCTTTTGCATCGAGTTTTGGAGCCATTATGGAAATTGTTTGCAGTTGTTTTGGGACTTTTTGGTGCATTTCTTAAGCTGTGGAACGGTAGGGAGCTGAGCTTCGTTGTTTGCATGCCTTTTATAGTGTGCTCTGCATTGTGGGTTGGTTTAAATGCCAGCTCATTTTTACTTTTTTTCTGACCTCCAGAATGGATTAATTGGTTTTCAATGCATTCCTAAGGGAAACCGCATTTCGGTTTACAATTTCTTCGCAATAAGAAACGTCCCGGAGAACGCATTAGATTCGTAAACCGAGGTCCCACTGTATCTCACTATATATATACATACAATTCCCTTTACTTTCGGCATGGGTTGTCATGCAGGTCCCGCTAATTGTAATTAATTAAGATACCTAATTATGTAAAAATATTACATAAATATATATGTAGAATTAATATATGTATATATATATACACATGTGAATCTATATGTGTATATCTATATAATTTTTTTAAAATATTTTTATTTATATATAGGTATATATATAGTGATATATACGTATATATTTCTGTATGTAGATATATATATTATTTCGTTCTACGTGTATTTTGATATATATATATATATATATATATATTAATATCACAATACAGTTAGAATATAATAACACACATCTATATATTTAATGATTTTTTTTTAAATTATTTTTTTAATTTTATTTAACGTATTTACATATTACATTTTTTTAGATTATATATAAATATATATATGTAACAATAATTATATATATATTTAACCAGTATCAGTCTACGTGTAATTTGATATTAATATATATATATATATATAATTATATATATATATATATATATATATATAATTATATATATATATATTAATAGTAAAATACACATAGACGGTGTACGTGTGTGTATGTATATGTGTAATATATATATATATATATATATATATATATATATATATATAAAATGATCTAAGTATATATATTTTTTTTTACACTAATACATTTTATTTTCATTTTATTTCCAGCCAGCAGGGGGACCACCTGTAATTACAGGCAGCCCCCCTGCTGGCAATACAGAAGCCAGCTATCCCCGGCCGTGACCCCACTCTCACATGGCCGGGGGTCACCGGAGGAGAAGGATCTGCCGCGGGGGGCTCCCTGGGAGTCCCCCCCACCGCGATCGCCGGCGTGGGACCGCCGTGGACCGGGTAAGTGAACAAAAAACGGAGGGCGTACAATTACGCCCAGCGGCGTTTAGAGCCACCTAAAATAGGGCGTAATTGTACGCCCTCCGGTCTAAAGGGGTTAACATGATTTTCAGTTTACAAATGAAAATCCGATGAAAATAATGCCTCAGTTTACACATTTATTTTGCAATACAGAGCAAGTTTCCCAAGGATGCATTGCACCTGGGAGGTTTATAGCAATGCCCCGTGCATGCTGGAGCCTGTGGGTAGCATGTGGCGTTGAGTGTGGAGGTGTTGGAGCGGCTTTTGCATCGAGTTTTGGAGCCATTATGGAAATTGTTTGCAGTTGTTTTGGGACTTTTTGGTGCATTTCTTAAGCTGTGGAACGGTAGGGAGCTGAGCTTCGTTGTTTGCATGCCTTTTATAGTGTGCTCTGCATTGTGGGTTGGTTTAAATGCCAGCTCATTTTTACTTTTTTTCTGACCTCCAGAATGGATTAATTGGTTTTCAATGCATTCCTAAGGGAAACCGCATTTCGGTTTACAATTTCTTCGCAATAAGAAACGTCCCGGAGAACGCATTAGATTCGTAAACCGAGGTCCCACTGTATCTCACTATATATATACATACAAAATACACAAGGCCCCAGCAGCACCCTATAATGCATGCATGTTCAGGTGAGTACAGACCACTTGGATAGATAGAGAAAGAGATATATATATATATATATATATATATATATATATATATAAAACAATGCTATTCAAATACTTACGAGAGGAAAGTGAAGCAAGGCACATCTCCAGGGAGACAGGAGATGAACCTGCTGCCCTACTCTCCGTGGAGACAGTATCTCCTACAGTTCCTGAGGCCTCTTCCTGGGATTGAGAGGCTTGCACTCAGGGACGGACTGACATCCTTCTGGGCCCCCAGGCAAAATTATATCATGGACCATTCAAAGACCAAATATTAACTATTAAAAGGGACACTATAGTCACCAGAACAACTACAGCTTAATGTAGTTGTTCTGGTGTCCACAGCCAATCCTTGCAGGCTCTTTAATGTAGACAGTGCCTTTTTAGAGATTACTGCCTAGGAACACCTTTAGTGGGAGGCACTGATGTTCAACGTCTCCATGCTCTGTATGTAGACTTGAACACTTCCTATAGTTTAATTTATTCTATGCAACTCTATGAGGAGATGCAGATTAGTGCAGCATGGCGATTTGCTGTGCATGCACAATAGCCTCTCAATGCTTTCCTACAGGAAAGCATTGGATTGGCTGATATCATCAAATTTGGATGGAACCCGCTGCAACGAGATTGGTGCAGCACTGGAATAAAGGTGAGTAAAAACACCTTTTACTTCTCTGACGGTGGGCTGGCAACCAAAAAATGCTATCAAAATTATAGTGTGAACACAGGGGAGTGTTGGTGCATGAATTGCAGTGTGTATTAGAGTGTCTTAGTTTGAAAGTCTGCGTATGAATGCCAGGAGAGATTTATATGGATTGTCAGCGCGTGAATGCAGTTTGTTTGAGCAGTGTGTTTGTGAATGCCAGAGTGTATTTGTGTGTGTGCAGAGTGTAAGCGTGAATGAGGGGTATATCTAAAATCTGTGTCAGAGTATGTGTGAATAAGAGGTGTATCTAAAATCTGTGTCAGAGTGTGTGAATGAGAGGTGTATTTGAAACTTGAATCAGTGTGTATGTGAATGAGGCGTACATCTGAAATCAGTGTCAGCATGTGTGTAATGAGGTATATTGATATGCTGCAAGCATGTTTGTGGTTTTTTTGACTCTCCATCTTCTTCTGAGTTTCTGTCTTTCTTGATCTTCACCAATCGTATGTGTGTCTTCCCATTAACTTCCTCTTTTATGTGCCACTCCTTGCCGCCTGTGTTGCTCTCTAACACTACTTGTCACCCATCTGACTACTTTCTGTCCCCCTCACAACCCACTCAATTGTGCCTGTGCTGCACCTCACACTTCTCCTTCCCAAATAACCCACATTTGTCTTCCATCTCACTTAAAGGGACACTACATGCACCCAGACCACTTCAACTTATTGAAGTGGTCTGGGTGCACTGTCCCAGGTCCCTTAACCCTGCAAAGGTAATTATTGCAGTATTTAAGAATAATTACCTTTGGGGGTTAACTCCACCTGTAGCATGAGGACATCCAGTGTCATGTAAAACCCCAGAGAAAAGCATTATACATGCTGTTATATGGAGAAAGTACTAATGCAAGCGCAGCCACTGCCGCGCATGTGCCATAGGTCTCCGGAGTGAAGCTTGAACCAGCGCCGAGGGACATAGGTGCTGGAATCAGGAAACCCCTTCTACACTACAGGGGGAGTTAGGTGGAGGTGGGGAGGGGCCCATGGCACTTTAGGGAGCTAAAGTGCCAGGAATACAACTTTGTTTTCCTAGCACTATAGCTTCCTTTTAAATTTGTAACCCACCCCATTAATTATTTCAAACATTTAACACTTAGATTCATAAGCATAGGGAACACACTTAAACAGCAAAATAAGTAATATATAAGGGCCTGCACAGAAAATAAATGCTGTAAGCAGGCAAGCAATCAATATCAGCTAATGACACCTTAGTTAAACTAATAATAAATAAAAAAAAATAGACAAACATTAAGAAAGAAAAACAAATAAAAAAACAACAACAAAATAAATAAACAAAAGCAAACCCCTGAGGTGTCTGACCACATCTTATCCACATCTCAACAAACCCTTATTTGCCTCTACCCTGTCTCACCTTTCATCATTTATCTGCCCTGTTCACCCCCAAGCCTACTTACCTGCACCAGACTATCGTCCCCCCCCCCCCTTTCCAGCTTGGGAGGATCTGCTGTGGCTGCTCCTGTTCTCACTCTCCATCCATGCTGTGAGTGCTGCGTGTGAGAGGGAAGCAGGGGGTGTGATGTCACTTCCTGGACCCTCCCATCCTCACAAGGAGCAGTGTCTACTGATCACAGGGAGAGAGAGGAGACCTGGCAGTGATAGCAGGTATTGCTGCCAGGTCTCACACTAAATCAGGGAATGGAATTGCAGAATGACAGGTTGCAGGGGGTCCCTGCAACCTTCCTTCTGACTGTGGAGATCTCTGATCTCCACTTCAGAAAGGTGCATGCAGCCGGGCCCCTGACTGCCTTGGGCCCTCGGTCCATGACCGATCTGCCAGAATGGTCAGCCCGCCCCTGCTTGCACAGATGGTATAGAAAACACAAATTGGAGGGTTAACGCATGAAAACTGATATGTGTACATTGACTAACAAATATGAATTTAACAACATACCTTCAGATGTGTCAGTGCCAGTTGTCCCCTCAATCTCAAGGAGGTTGTCTCTTTTCAGGAACTGCAGGAGCTCCTCTTCATAGAGCAGAAGGTCTGGTTCTTGTTGCGAACCACCTCCTGTCTTCCTGAAGGCGGCTGCTGTCTTGTTCACCTTCTTCTTCACCATTCGTCTGATGTCACAGTAACTACAATGACATGTGTAATTGATGAATAACTTTAAAATCTTTCTATATATATGTTTACTGACATGTTAAAAGGGACACTATAGGCACCCAGATCACTTCAGCTCATTGGTGCAGTGTCCTAGGTCCCTTAACCCAAGGAGGCAGAGTGGGAGCTGAGCCAGCTGTGATGGACCTGTGCAGCGCTCTTATAAAGATGAGTAATTACAGTTACATTGCTGACAGGGAGGCTAAACTGTGTTTTCACAGATATAGTGACAGGAATATATGTTTGTATTCCCGTCACTATAGTGTTCCGGTAAAAGTGTATTTTAGCGTATTTAATTTTTTTTTGGCCGGAAGTAGCAATAGATCTAAAAATAGATTATCTGCTATAGGGGGTGGGGGTGAGACTAAAAATAGTCTGCTTTGAGGGAAAATACTGCAAATAGATTGTTAGCTATGCAGTAAAAGGCCGGAAAACGGGAAAAAACTTTATTGCTGAGAATTATCCGGTTTAATGGACTTAGTTACTGTTACTGAAGGCACACAGGGCTCAGTGGTTATAGTGCTATCTCAGTGGTTATAGTGCAATGTCAGTGGTTATAGTGTTCCCACTCCCTCTAGCATGTAAGCTCATTGAGCAGGGCCCTCAACCCCTCTGTTCCTGTGCATCCATTTGTCTAGTTAGAATTACGTGTCTGTTAGTCCACCCATTGGAATTTGCTGGCGCATTATAAATAATAAAATAATAATGTCAGTGGTTATAGTGCTATGTTAGTGAAGGCACACAGGGCTCAGTGGTTAGAGTGCTGACACAGCATTCTAACCACTGAGCCCTGTGTGCCTTCACTGACATAGCACTATAACCACTGAGCCCTGTGTACATTAGTGGTTATAGTGACTGCCGGTGGTTATATTATATATCAGTGGTTATAGTGCTACGTCAGTGGTTATAGTGCTATGTCAGTGAAGGCACACAGGCCTCAGTGGTTATAGTACTATGTCAGTCTTTATAGTGTGATGTCAGTGGTTATTTTGCTATGTCAGTGAAGGCACACAGGGCTCAGTGTTTATAGTGCTATTTCAGTGGTTACAGGGATATGTCAGTGGTTATAGTGTGATGTCAGTGGTTATAGTGCTATGTCAGTGAAAGCACTATAACCACTGAGCCCTGTGTGCTATGTCAGTGTTTACAGGGATATGTCAGTGGTTATAGTGTGATGTCAGTGGTTATAGTGCTATGCCAGTGAAGGCACACAATACTCAGTGGTTAGAGTGCTGAGACAACACTCTAACCACTGAGCCCTGTGTGCCTTCACTAACATAGCACTATAACCACTGACATAGAACTATAACCACTGAGCCCTGTGTACCTTCAGTAACAGTAACTGAGTCAATTATCCGTTTTAATGGACTCAGTTACTGTTATTAAGAGTCAGTTACTGTTAAGAGTTCTCATTAAAAAAATGTGACAGTAAATAAAATACTCTATTTGATTTGAGTAAACTTGAACAAGAATAAAATATGCTAAAATACACTTTTACCTAGTGTTCCTTTAAAGCTGAGCTGCAAGTGGTGTTTTTTTTTTCTTCTATGTGCTTAAGTGACCCAACCCTCACTTTTAAAAGACTTTAAAAACATAGCTGCCAATGGTGGGGGTGGGTAGCAAAAGTGCACTTACTGTTTCTTCACCACGTACTCAGTGCGGTTGTTCCTACTAACAGCAGTAACCTCTGCCACTATCTTCCTCCACAGACAATTCTTCTTTGAATGAGAAGTTATATGGCTGCTCCCCCAAAAATACATTGGTAGCACTGGCACAATTTGGTGACCGGTACTGCATTCTCCTCTGCACCAAAGTTCTCTGTGTACTTTTTTTTCTCCCAGGACTTGCAGCATTTAAGATCCTGGGCTGCTTCTGCTTTCCTTTGCTTCTCCCACTTGCTTCTACATGCCCCTGGGCCCCAGAGCAGCCAATGCCCCCCTCCACTATATCCATTGTTAGATCACTTGACGAGCTGGAGGAAGACATGACCACTCTGTTACAGGTGCAATGCCTTCTAAAATGGATGACAGGGTGGTGGGCTGGATGAGCTCTAAAATGGTTGTAAGGCTGGCCTATAGAATTTCTGAACAGATTTTGCACTGAAGGATTGCTGGCTCTGCCTATTTAATTGGCTACTTTTTTCCAGTCCCATTCCCTTCTAAAATGATATAATGTTGACAGTTCCCACCTGTCAGTGTGGTAGCATGATGATTCATGAGCCTAAGAGACTACGCATTTGCAATGCAATTTAACATACGAATGCCTATATTGCGTGTTCGGGAGTTTACTAATAGTACCAATACATTTTCATGCAAATTATAGCGTTCGGGCATTTGGCGGTTCGGGAGTTTTGATTTTTGGCGTAAAATCAGGGAAATAGAACATTTTTCAATACCATGTTGTAATGTCAATGAATTTTCTCATATGGTGTCTCTTAAAGATTTTAATATTTTATCTTTAATTCGGGTTGTTGAGCAACAGATCAAGGCATCTCTTGGGGAGTTTAAGGAAATATTCTGAGGTTTTGCAATTCTCCGCCATCATTCCATTAGATGTTCTTGATTTTCCCTTGTTATGGTTAGGCTGGCAAAGAATTTTTTTAAAATGTGCTTTCAACTTTTCTTTGTTTTTTTTCCTTTGGGATGTTTCTTATTCTTAAATTACTTCGTCTAAACCTGTCCTCCAGATCTGCGGATTTTTGTTCCAGCTATTCTATTTTGGCTTTCATTTGTTTGACTTCTAATTGCATTTGTGAAGTACTACTTTCAAAATGTAAAATTATTTTGGAATTTGTATGAATTTTTTTATTAGCAGCGATTAGATCATTTTTAAAATCACTAGTGAGTCAAAGAATTTCCTTTTTAATTTTTTCAAATTGGATTTCTAATGCATTATTTAGTAAGACAACCATAACATTGGTTTAAATCACCCTCTGTGTGTTTTATAGTTTAACCTGAAAGGTCTTTAATTAGCCCAGACTTATTTGTTTGATGAGAGAAAAAAGACAAATGTTTGTCAGCAGATTCCCCTTTGTTTTCTGTCTTTTTATTGGTTGGTCTTTGTTCCTTGGATTTACTTTTTTTTATATTTATAAATTAAGATTTCTCAATTTATTTGTTAGACTTGTCAGTGGCAATTTTACAATTTATTTAAATGATATGCAAAAAAAAAAATGTTTAGAAGATATACCACAAAAAAGAAAGCCACACATAGAAAAAATCCAGTCAAAGAAATCCAGTTACTCTCCCTTCTTGCTTTTCTTTCCCACTAATTCTCCCTCCAATTCTCTTATTCTCCCTCTGTCCTCAGTCTTCAGCCAAATAGTAAATTATATGAGGTTTATCCTCTTAACCTTTTCCACAGCTTAGCTTCGTTCCCTTTACAGATATAGTTTTATACAGCCTTTCGGCTCATACTGTCTGTTTATGAGCTTCATTTTCATGCACTTGCTGCGGCAGCCGTCGTCAACAATTCAGCAGCAGCGCAGTCCCCCTCACAAAAAGGTATTAATCGGACCTGGACAAAAACATATCTCGGTGCTCCTTCTTCTGGTACTAGTCAGCGGCATCTCCCTTCATTCTCCTCGTGGTTCTCAAATCCCGCGAGCATATTGCTGCAGGCCTAGTCATTGCTCCTCCTCATCTGACACATGTTTTAACATAAACAGCTACCCTAACATAAGTTTAACCTTCATATCCCAGCATTAACCCTTACCTTACACTAACTCTACACCTAACTCTACCCTACCCCTAATACAAGTATGATATCACCAGTGGGATTTCCCAGCTCTACAACAGAAGAGGGGAGTCTGTGATTACCATCTACTGGTTATTTCAGCATGACAGAGAGATCACATTGCAATTCTGAAGATCTGGATGATCCCACTGGGATCAGTGCTGGATAGCTGGCAAAGATCAGCACCAATTTGCAGGGGGCATGCAGGGGGACTGTCCGGTTATTTTCAGAACCTGAAGAATTTCATTGGACAGCATTCAACCTGAGAAATGCCAGAGCTGAGTGCAATAGCTCAGCTGCACTGACTTTAATGGATTTAACAAAAACAGAGAATATGAGAATTCTGAGAATGGTAAAGAAACTCAATAGCTTCTGCACAAGAGATAGAGTAACCCTGGATGATTGTTTTGGCATTCTTCTAAAGGATTTAAAGGTCAGCTGCAGAGATTTTAATGTAATTAAAGGGCTTTAGTCACTGCTTACAGCTCATCTCTCCACTATTATGGTCCACTCTCCTGGAGTGTAGCCCCAGGTATCTATTTAGTCCTCTCACACCAGACTTTTAGGACATTAAAGTCCAGGATTTATAGGATGTAATAGCACTTCCTAACATTGACATCTGACATTCACTGTCGGTCTGAAAAATAAAGACTGAAGGTCTTCATGTTCAGCATCATTACTCACTGCATGATAACACCAATCACTGATAATTCTTCTCAAAGCAAAGTATTGATGTCAATTATTCTCGTTGAGAAGCATACAATTGGCAGAACATGGTGTTTGCAGTGCATGTGCCATATATTCCTAATGTTTCTTTAGAGAAGCATTGGATTGTACCAGAGATCATCAGGATATGATCTCACAGCAAGCAATATATTTATAAAGTTATACAGTTTCTTTAAAAATCAGATTGTAACAAAATAAAAATTTAATTTATATATATATATATATATTTAACAAAATTCTGCAATTAGTTTATTGCAGTTAAGAATTTAGTTAGTAAATAAATTCCACAGATTATATAAAAAAAACAAGGATCACAATATTAGTATTCCTTCTGTTTATTTAGAATTAGGCATAATATTTAGGCTTTTCACTTAAATAGAATGAAAAAACAAAAAACTATTTCTCTTGCAGAATGAGTATCTTCTGATCATTAAGCCACAAAGTCAACACATTCTCCTTAGGAATATCAAGAACTTATATATGAACTGGCTCCAA